TACTTTTCCAGGTCTTTTCGATACGAGTTTTGAGAACTGATTCATTCTCTTTTTCGGTGTTTTAGATGGATCGGTGCCTCCTCTCTCTCACCCCATTTTTGTTTTTTTCTTTCCTTGCTTCTTGGTTCGTTCTTTTTGACGCTTATGTTCGATGCATAAGTGTCCACGTATAGCCTTTTGCTATACGTGAAACCATCAAGCAAGGTCGCAAGTAGTCGTTTTGGAGCGTACGGTGTTGATGATAAAGGCACACCGAAGATAGAGTAGAAAGATGCCCTATCTTATAACATCAAGATTCAGACATTTGATGAACAATAGGTTATGATATCTTTCACCGACGTAAGTCTAGCGGGAGTTGGCTTGAACCTCCTCAGATGATTGACAGTCCCACGTCCGACAATGTAATCGACTCGTGGACAACGAAGATTTCTAAAAAAAAAAGTTTTGATAAAGTTTTGATAAACCCTTTTCAAAAAACACATTTTTCTACGAAACAAAATTGATAACTCTTCTTTGCATGTTTAAAATTTGTATGCATGTTAAAAAACATAAAACATACTTTAAAACTGGTTGTCCACCTGACGAGTATCTGTTTAGGCTGGGAAATAGCCCTCTAAGTGAGGTTCAAGGCACACTTCTAGACGAGTGGCGAGTTCTATATATTCGGGTGACCGAGAGCCTTCGTGTACCCTCGAGAATAAATATATACTTATGATATTGATTGTTTAGAGACATTGACCCCAGTCGCAGAACTAAATTCTATAATAGTTCTTCTGTCACTTGTAGCTAATATTGACTGGCTTCTACAACAATTGAATATAAAAAATATCTTTCTCAATGGAGATTTAGAAGAAGGAAAATGTGTATGGATGCATCTCTGGGATTTAGTGAGTAGTTTGACACAAAGTTGTGTAAACTAAAAAATTTCTTATACATGTTAATGCAGTCATCGAGAGCGTGATTTGAGAAATTTATACTATTTGTTAAAGGTTAGAGGTATACTCAAGGGCAAAAAGATCATGCAATGTTCTTCAGAAATTCAAAAGATGGGAAGATAGTCATACTAATTGTGTATGTAGACGATATAATTCTCGCCAGAGATGACATATATGTGATGAACCATTTGAAGACTGTCCTATCATTTGTTTTTTACACCGAGAGTTCATAGATTCTTTAAGGTATTTCTTTGCCATGCATGTTGCTAGATCAAAGAAAGAGATTGTTGTTTTCCAATGGAAGTATGTTCTTGATCTACTAAATGAAACTTGGATGAGTGGTTGTAGGCCTGCAAATACAATTGACCCCAATCAAAGAACTGGGAGATGGGAAACAAGGTGACCTTGTGAATACAGTTCAGTGTCAAATATTGGTGAGAAAGTTGATATACTTATCACATACACACCCAAATATAACTTTTGTTGTGAGTTTACACACATATATAATTATTTTAACACTGCCATTGCTGGATCCCAAGCCCCGGATGTGAGAAGTGGAGGGTTGTGTCAAGTAGTTGACAACTAACGTAAAATTTTTTGAAAAATCTTGGCATGAATTTTTTTAATCATTGTGTAAATGCTAGGGCATCCCTTGGAAATGACACGCTATATGACCTGAATACAATAAAAAGTGTGCAAGGGCCACTGCACTGGCGCTTGGATATAGTGTCAAATAAGCAAGAGATCTCGCATTACAGATGGATGTGAGTAAAAAAAGTAAGTCTATAAAATTAATATTAGGATAAGATTTTGAAATATAAGTACTCTCACAGGTAAATTAATGAAATTAGTTGATATTATAATTCATAGAAAGATAAATATCTTATGTATTCAAACTACTAAATGAGTTGAATAAAAGACTAAGAAGATTGATAACTTAGGTTTTAAACTTTGGTGTTCAGGTAATAGTCACATTAAAAATGGTGTCAGTGTAATTATATATAAGTGTTTGAAAGATAATGTTGTAAAAATTAATATAACCGGAGATAAAACTATAGCTCTTAAGATTGTTGTTGATGCTAAAATTTTTAATATTATAAGTGCTTATGCTTCTCGGGTAGTTTTAGATATATGTTCCAAAGAAAAATTCTGGAATGATCTAGAAGAATTAAAGTAAGTGATACTTCTTGAAGAAAGAATTTTTATTGGAGGAGATTTAAATGGACATATCGGTAGAGTGGTCCAAGATTTTAGAAATATTCATGGTGGCTACGGTTTTGGAGTGATTAATGAAGAAGGTAGAACCATATTAGATTTTGTTTTAGCATATGATTTTATTATTGTTAATGCTTTGTTTTAAAAAAGAGATGAACATATTATTACTTATAAAAATGGATCTAATTAAACATAAATTGATTATTTTCTTATGAGAGGAATAGATCATTAAGAATGTAAATATTGTAAGGTTCTTGATTTTAAGATGAAGAGTTGTAAAATAAAGAATACTAAAAACCATTATCATAGAATTAGATGGACGTACTTAAAAGACACAAACTTATTTTTATCAGTAAACTTCAAGATTTCAAGATTTAGGATGTTCATGAAGAAACAAATCTTATGTGGGATAAAGTAACAAACACTATCAAACAAGTGACAAAAGATGTACTTAGAGAATCAAAAAGAAAATTTTTTATAAATACAAATAGTTGGTGGTGGAATAAAAATGTGCAAGAAAAGATAAAATATAAGAAGTTATGTTATAAAATTAGTTTAAATGTACAAGCTTAGAGAATTGAGGAAAATATTAAATGACCCATACAGAGTCTAAGAAAACAATTTATGATGCTAAAATTCTGCTTTTAATAATCTTTATAATATATTAAATACTAAAGAAGGTGAAAAATAATGTATAAACTAACCAAACAAAGAGAAAAGAAAAGTAAAGATTTAACTCAAGTAAATTGTATTGAAGATGAAAATCAAAATGTATCTTTTTTGAAAAAAATATTCAAAATAGGCGGGTGAGATATTGATAAATTTTTCAATAAAGTTTTTGAAAATACGATCGTCTTTAGTGATCGTAATATCATTAATAATAATAAATTATTTTATTTTTGCCATTATGTTAGTAAAAAGAAGTTGAGGAGGCTTTAAATAAAAATAAGGGTGGAATGTCTGCAGGACCTGATGATATCCCAATTAAAGTGTGAAAATATTTAGCTAATTTGGGAGTTTTTTTGGCTTGCTAAACTCTTTAATATTATTTTAAAACTAAAAAGTTGTCTGAGGTGTGGAGGTAGAGTATTTTGGTCCCTATCTTTAAGAATAAAGGGGATGCACAATAGTGCAAATTATAGAGGAATTATGTTGATGTGTCATACTTTAAAATTATGGGAGAGGGTGGGTAATTGAACAATTGATTACGACGTATTATAAAGATTTCTCATAATCAGTTTGGATTTTTCCAAGGCAGAGGTTTGCTGGAGAAATACAGAGAGAATAAGGAGGATCTACATTTGATTTGTATTGATTTAGAAAAAGCTTACGATAAGGTTCCAAGAGATATCCTTTGGAGAGTTCTAGAGAAGAAAGATGGTGATATAACTTATATTCAAGTTATTAAAGATATGTATACTAGAGCTGTTACTTGTGTTTGAACAGAAAGAGGATTGACCAATTATTTTTCTATTTTAGTTGGATTACATCAGGGATCGACTTTAAGCCCATATCTTTTTGCTTTAGTTATGGATGCTCTTACTGGATATTTACAGGAGGATGTACCTTGGTGTATGCTTTTCGTTGATGATGTCCTTCTTGTGGACAAGACTAAAGAAAGAGCTCATAAAAAAACTTGAATTATATAGGTCTACATTGGAGTCTAAAGGCCTTTGCTTGAGTAGAACTAAAACTGAATACATGGAATGTAATGAATACATGGAATGTTGAATACATGGAATGTAATTTTAGTAGCAATAGCTCTAGTGACAGAGTTGTAACTATTGGTGATCAAATTATTGAAAGGTATGAACGCTTTAGATGTCTCCAGTCTATTGTTCAAAGTGATGGTGATATAGATGGGGATGTTATTAGTAGAATTTAAGTTGGTTGGTTGAATTGTAAGAATGCTTTGGGCCTATTGTGTGATAGAAAGTACCGCTCAACCTGAAGGGAAAATTGTATAGATGGTGGTGGGACCTGCAATGTTCTATGACACAGAATATTGGCCTTTAAAATAGAAGCATAAAATTAAGTGTTGCTGAGATGAGAATGCTTAGGTGGATGAGTGGTTTTACACTTAAAGACAATGTGAAATGAATATATCCATGGTAGGGTTGGTGTAACTCCTGTGGCGGACAAAATTAGAGAGAGTCGTCTTCGATGGTTTGGTTACATTAAACGTTGACTATTTGATGATCCAATTAAGAAAGTAGATGTTTTAGATTCGACTTATGTTAAGCAAGGTAGAGTTAGACCTAGAAAAACTTGGGCATATTATATAAAAAATGATCTTAATTTATTAGAATTGAATGAAAATATGATTTCAATAGGATGCAATGGAGAAAAAAGATTCTTGTAGTCAACCCCATTTAGTGGATAAAGACTTGTTTTTGTTGTTGTATATATGTATAGAATTTTATGGAAACAGTTTTAATCATTTTTTTGAGATGCACAAAAATGTGGTACAATTATTTTAGTATTTTTATGTTTTACCTTATCAAAATTTGAGTATCTTTAATGTCAAACAGGCCAGAAGAAAGCCATTGGAGAGTAAAACAATCTAATGAGTCTTTATAATAAGCAGTAATAAAGAGTTCTCTTCTTAACGGGAGAGTTAATTAATCAAAGATGGGAAGCTTAAAAAACTAATAATATAAGGTCTTCATTAGAGGATGCAAAAATTCTAGCTCATCACTGCTTAATTTGCCTCTTGAAAATGATTTTTGAGGTCCTTTTCTATGCGGGTGGGGATCTGATTGCCAAAAGAGTTCATTAACTTTCTAATCACTTTGGTCATCAATTCACATTGCTCTAAAGTTACATTTATTGCAAATTAACCCGTTGCAGGTATTGCATGGTCTTGAAGTGGCTACCCTTTGTGTTGAAGATATGGATGAGTGGTTATGTATCTTCAATGTGAAACTTAAGTACATGCGTGAGGACATTGAATTGGTATGCCACTTTCTTGTTCATTTTGTCTGCGAAACAAGTCACATACATTGTCATATCACCGATCAGTAGGAATATGAAATTGCAATTTTATGTTTAATACCCCAACTCTTGATTCAATCAAGATATTTTCTAATAGGTACCTTTAAAATTGGTTTAATTCTAGTTCAAATAACAATTTTCTAAGGCAATTGAAGGCTTATTTAACTACTTTTATAAAAGGAATCAACTCTTTCATTGAAGTTGTTGCTGCTAATGATCTACATTCACAATTTAACTACACATTTATCCCTACATTGAATCTCTACTTTTTTATACCTGTTATGATGTATCGTATCTACTTCCTGTTTTATTATAGAATTTCAGCATATTAGAAGATGCTTTAAATCAATAAAAATTTAAACATTCATGGAATGTATAACCGTTGAATCTTGGCAAATTGGCAACTAGGTTATGAAGCCTTGTTCATGTTTTTTTTAGTGTTGTCAATTTAAGGGGATGTTTGGTAGCATACTTTTTATAGGATTTAAGGCGAGATTTAACATAAATCCAACCAAATACCAATAAGAGGCACGTTAAATCTGCCATTCCGCTGAAAAAAATTTGCTCTTCATTCATACATAAATCTTAAATCTGATTTGTAGGTGGATTTAACCGATTTAACTTAGGAAGAAAAACACACCGCAGCTCCCATTATCGCTTCCCGATCGCACAGTGCCCAAAGGGAGGATTCGACGCAATCACCCCACTGTCGTCGACTTCAAGCGGATTGTTCTTGTTCTTTTGAATTGTCATCATCCCTTGTACCAATTCACCTGTTCAACACAAATAATAAAAATCACAATTTTTTTCTTTTGGCATGGGAGAAAGCTTTTCGAGGACATTTATGAGAGCGGTCTCACGACAAGAAGAAAAGTAAGAAAAAGTACGGAGAAGCCAGTGGGATGAAAGTAGTCCATATGAGGACTCTGCATGGGAGGTTTCCATTGATGAAGAAAGACATTGGAGATGGAGTCAGGAAGGGTAAAAAATGCAGTTTGAGGAAGAAGATGATTATACAGTGGGCATAAAGTTTCTCAACACCACATGACATATTCACGGATGGGAGGAAGAGCGCCCAAACCTGTTTATTTGTTGGGTGCATTTACATGCATAACAACCAATTCTTATGTTTTTACATACCTAACACTTAAACTTTCGTTTCTACATTTATACACCTAAATGTTTAATATCACATAAAAAAAATATCACCTTTTTAAATTTTAAAATGTAAAATACTCCTTTTCCTACATAGGTAAGGTGTCATGTATGTAAATCGAAGTTTAGGTGTTAGATATATAAATACCTAAAAATTAAATGGTATGTATGAAATTCTTTGTATTATTATGTGAAGTAAATGTGTCACTTACATAGCATTGCCACATTTGCAAAACATGCGGGACCTCTGTAGTTTGAGATTTGTTGACACACCATGGGCTCCTTACTTTTTTATGTGCAACATATTAGAGGTATATATCATTCACATTTCTGTTGTGTAACTTCTTAAATAGAATGAAGCCAAACTTTTAAACATTGAGATGCTTTTTGATGTAACGATGGGATTTTCATAGAAACTCCAAAGTTAAACTTGCTCACATCAGTGCGATTTTGGGATGGGTGATCTCTCAGGAAGTTACACCAGCAGAGAAAAATCGTGAGACTATTAAGCCAAAGTAGAGAATACCTTGATGGGTGAGAGTTTGGGCTGCATAACACTAGCTAGAAGATAGGAACTAAGTGCCATACAAAATAAAGTGCAACGCTATGGGAGACACCACTTGAACCCAAGATGGGATAAAGTGTTACATGATGGGAGCCACCTCTTGTATTTGTAGGGGCCACCTTTAGAGTCATATGTGCCTGGTGGATGATTCTGGGTATAGAGTACTGACGATGATGTTAGGTGCTTAAGTGGGTGAGATTGTGAAACCCATTATGTAGAATGAAGCTGAACTCTTAAAAATCGAGACCTCTTTTGGTATAATAGTAGAATTTTGATAGAAACTCCAAAGTTAAGCGTTGATCAATCTTAGGATGGGTGACCTCCTGGGAACTTACACCAATGAGGCAAAACCTTTGGGTTCACTCTTCTCATTTTTTGGTTTCTCAAATGATTAATCAACACACATCACAGGACAAGGCATCACTCCCTTATGTACCACTCTCTCACCATTGCTACTGACACCCCTTACCTTATATCTCCAGATCTAGCGAGTCACTGACGGGTGAGGTCACCCTCCTATGTGTAATATGGTTCAAATTCTTTAAATGTCACATCCATGTTCACAAACAGTCTCTTTTCTATTGGGCTTCAGCAGACATACCCATTCTAAGTAGCAGAATAGCCTACGAACATACATTTTACAGCTCTGCGATCCAACCTTCCTACTAATGGCTTGTTATCCTTCACAAAACTTACACATTCAAACACTTTTAATGGGCAGATCCTGCTATTATCTTCTTTCAACATCTAATAAGGAGACTTTCAATACAACTCCCTGGAGGGCATCCTATTGACCAATGGAGAGACTGTCAAAACTACTTGCCCTCATAAGTGCATTGGAACATCTATTGCAATCATCATGCTTAGGGCTGCCTCTAGAAGGTGTCTATTCTTTCTCTCCACTTTATTTTGTGCAAGTATGTATAGACATGTGGTTTTATGCTGTATCCATTGGGCTAACGAGTATTTCCCAGAGGCTTCTTGGTATATTATGTCCCATTATCAGACCTCAATACCTTCACTACTGTATCATACTTATTCTCAATTATCTTTTAAGGACTTTAAAACAAATGAACACATCAATCTTATTTCTCATCAAATATAACCAAGTAATATGAGAAAAAAATCAATAAATATCACAAAATATTGTTAACCATTCATAGAACTTGTAGTATAAGGTCTCTAAACATCAGAATGTATCAAGTTAAACATACCGAAACTCCTATTCCTCGGACCTGATATAAGAGCTCCTAGTAAACTTACCAAACTCACAAGAAACACAAACTAGTTTTTTGTTTATTTGCCTTCTCATACAAAAAAGTATACAACCGACTTAATAAACTATGAAAAGAGTGTCCCATGTGTTTGTGATATGACAACCATCTTCCACACTCCCAGATTCTCCTACTTCAACATTCTCTGCCATGGATGTTAAAGTTAAGTCCATCTTCTTCTATCAGAGTTCATCATGCCACATTCCAGTCCCAAATGTCTGACCCGTCCCTTTCTTTTAGAAGATCGCCTTAGGAATATATAAAAAAAACAACACATTTTAGTTAGAATAATGACACTAATTAATAAAAATGAGCACGCAAAACATTGGACATAGTCATATAATTGGTAACCCTTATTTTACTCTTACCAACTACAAATTGTGTTGTACCATCAGCAGTCTGGATGCTCTCTGGTACTACTAGAGAGGTATAGCAAAAAAAATTTATAGCAGTACCTGTCGCATGTCAAGATGCACCGAACTCTACTATTTATTCTGATGATCATGTGATGGAAATAGAGACAAGAGCATGTGTAAACCTTTTTTCAGAGTGAGTATAAGTGACAATGTTATCCTTTGATGACGAGTGGTTATAAACATCCTCAACCTCACCTTCTGCTGCTTTCTTGTTTCCTCTTCAACAACTCCAGACACTCATAATCCTCTACCCTATTATACTTATAAAGACATTAAAGTCTACCATTCTAAATTGAAATCAATTAATCAAAGAAACAATAAGCAATTGTTCTTTAGTGATATTCGGCCTTAGATGAGATGCAAATGATAGCAAATAGTAGAGCCGTGGTCAAGCATACTACAATGAGAGCAATAAGGAGGGTGTGGTTCGATTTGAACCTTTTTCCAATACTCGTTGTGGGTGGTTCCAATCCACACCTCATTCAGAGCAGATTGAGTGATATCCCTCTCACTAACACACAAGCCACAGAGGGTCTGGTGACAACAAACATAGGACTATCAACCCTGAGAGACTTACCGTAAGCAGTTGCTAAGGAGTAGAGAATTTCAAATTGAACGTATGTAAGTGTAACCCCGAAAATTTTATCCAAACTGGAATGATAGGGGACTGCCTTTGGGTCGAAACCAACAGTCCACTTCAGATTTTTCATATTACGGTTGTCGATCTTGATAACTTTCCAAGAAAAGATGCGAGTGTAATCAACATCATGAGACAACTAAATCAGTATGTGCCGACAGTCAAGTAGACTAATATTCCAACTGCTCAATAGCTTCATAGCCTCAATCTCTTTCCGAATGATCTCCAATTTTGGGTTACCATAAATAAATTTTCCCACTAGAGCAAAACGCTAAAAGGACGCGAGAGTACTGGTTTCAACCTCTCTAAGAATAAGAACAGATTTCCCATTTTTTTCCCAATTGTTTTATGAAGGTGTGATCGCCACCACCTTTAAGAGCATCGTGAAAAAATTGAAGAACATTGTAAGATTTATCTATACGAAAACTAGTCTCTGATTTTGAAAGAGGAGCACGAGTAAGAATCGAGAGGTCGCCGACAAGTGCAGTAACATAGGAACGGATAACCATCTTTGCCGACAAGATTCTATCGGACAGGAAGGAAGGAGACGCAGTCTGAAAGGAAATGCAAAAATGCGGGCAGAGCAGTGTGACAAGCGCGACCAAGCAAGTAGAGCAACATCTCTGTCGCCAGACCGAGACGACACGAGGACTGTGAAGGAGGCGTCCTGGACAGACGAGGACATCGTCTGGAAAGAAATGCGAAAACTCGACCCACCTTGTTGTCTGGAAGGATGCGAAGACACGAGCCTGTCGCCAGAAACACGACGAGCGTGAAGCACAAAAACAACGCGACGACGCGAGCACCGATGTCGATGAAGACGAAGCAGGGAAATAGAAACGCGAGAGAGATCCGTGTAGTAGATGGGAGATCCGTGTAACAGAAAGCTAGGGTTCGCCATGAGGCGAAACCCT